TCTGTTTCAACGTGCTCATCCCAAAGACCCCGGGTGTGGGGAGGATGCTCCCACATGCTGCCAGACGTTCGGCCCCAAGCTGCTTCCCCTCTCCCCAAACAGGCCGAGCCCTCTCTCCATCAGCATCCAGAAAGCGGGGAGCTGTGAGAAGGCGCGGACTGCGCAGGGCCGCGGGCGGTACTTTCTGCGCTTGGCTCTGCAGGGGAAGGTGCTGGCGGCGGCCGTGCGGCAGCTGGCGCAGACCCCCCGGCTCCTGGAGGTGCAGTACACGGCGGGGAGCCACTACCCATGGGCAGTGGGCAGCGAAACGGCAGCGCCATGGTGATATTTCTCTGTGTTTCAGTTTTATGATCCGGTGAACTCCATCCTTGGCAATGAAGACCTCCTGGGTAAGGCGGTGGCTCCTCCGAGGTGGGATGTGACCTGCCCCAGGGCGGCTGTCGCAGGCCTTATGGTACCGCGCTGCTGCGGGGCGGGGGGAGAGGAAAATAGTCCACAGTGATTTTTCTAAGCCAAACTTAGCAGTACAATCTAAATGTGCTGCTGCAGCGATGGAGAAAGAGGCGTAAATATTTAAACACAGTTTGAATCCATCTAAGGTTGGTTTTAGTGTCACGGGATAGGAAAATTGCTTCTGAAGTGTCTTCCGTGTTATTTCTTTGTACCGAGGAGGCTGGTTTAAGCAGACCCAGCAGTCCGGCTTTGAGGGGAGCCCTTGGCGGCTGGGCCCAGGCTGCGGTCCCACGTGAGGGGTCAGCTGGGGGGTTCGGTGTGGTAAACGGCTGCGTTGCCTTGAGAGGCTGCACCCCTCCATCCGCAGCCATGCTCCTTGCAGGGCCAGGCCAGGGTGAAAGCCTTTAATCTTTTGATTGTGATAAATAACCCGGTGTTAAACCTGTACCTAGATGGCTTATAAATCACCCGTGCTGCTGGTGCATGAGGAGATTGCAGATCTCCGTCAGTGTAATTGCACGGCTCGTGCAGGAGAGCCTGGGCGGCTTTGCTTTGCGCATTTAGGGGGAGAAATGGAGAGAAAGTTGCTCATCAGCAGCATTTGCTGCGAGCCTTGGTCTGAATTTGGGGAAATAGGGCGCTGAGCCTGCAGCATTTCTCTCCCCGTGCCGGCAGCAGGAGCCCAGGATGAGCCTCCAGCAGCAGCCTGGGCGCCACAGTGCTGGGATGCTCTCAGGGTCTCGCTCCCCAGGGCACATTAGTTATGCCAAAAATGGCTTTATTCGGACCTCTGCCATGTCCCCGTGAGGCTGTGGCTGCCGGGAACCCAGCAGTGACGCTGCTTCTCCATCCCTGTCTCTCTGCAGAGCCTTTCCTCTCACTGCTGCTGGTGGTGACAGAGATGGATTTCTCCCTGGACCTGCAGGTACGGTGACGAATTGGCGGGGTGGTGGCCAGCACACGGCTGCCAGCACGGGGCCCCGGCCCCTTCTTCACCAGGACCGATGGTGCTGATGCTCCTTTGTTTGCAGAATTGCAGCTTCTTGGACGAAAGCTGGCTGCTGCCGGTAAGAGCTTGTCTCTCCCCAGAGCCATCCTTCTACCACCTGGCCCTCATGGAAAAGTCAAATGAGGAAGATAAGGAATGATTTGGTGGGGAGGGATTGCCATGCAACTCCGAGGTCAGATCCTGCTGGGTCTCCGCGCTGTCACCAAGAGCAGATCCCACCATTCCTGGGAGTAAAACCAAGCAAGAGTAGTACCCAGGCCTAAATTTCTGGCATAAATGAAGTTTTCCCATGCTCCCTTCTGTGATTTCTTGCCGAAAAATCCCCATTTCCCTGGGCTGATACAGATGACACGTCAGTTGGTTTTGCTCAGTGAAATATCAGTGCATTTATTGGGAACAGCGGGGATGCCTTGATGCCTTTTAAAAATGAAGGGTGACCCTCTGCTGCCTTTTTAAGCCAAAAGAATCCCTAAAAAAGCTCAAGGCGGCTTTGGGGCTGGTTACAGCACGTGCCGAGCCGCAGCACTGCTGTGGAGGCTGGGATCCCGCTGGCTTTTGGGCATTTGCAACAGCAAGTGCTCCCGGCCGAACTGGCTGCGTTTCGGGTCCCTGGCTAATGTGATGTGACAGTAAGTGCTGCTGCAAATGGCAGCAGCTTTGGGGAGGGGCAGCAGCGCTCCCCCAGCTGCATGGGGATGTGTGGGGAGAGGGAGGAGGGCTCATTGCTGAGTTAAGGGTTCATGTGCTGCTTTGCCATCCCATTCATCTAGCAGGTTTGTCCCTCAAGGGTCTGGGGACAGCTGAATCCCAGGAGACAACAGGGACAAGCAGCCACTGATGGTCCCAGCCCAGCCTGGGGCACTGTGGACTGGCTTCTCCCTGGGCTCCCGAAGCCCTGGTTTGGCATCAGTGCCAGAAATGGTCCAGGGCAAGGGGTCCCCATCCTCTCCCTCATCCCGGTCACACTCCTTGGGTGTCCTGTGGCCATTGCCAGGGCCACCATCACCGGCCACTTTCTTCCAGGTGTGCATCACTTATGAGACGGTCCCATGCCGAGCGCTGGGGATGGTGCTCAGGTAGGAGCCCTTGATCCTCCTTTCCGCTCTCCAGTGGGATCTGGACACCATGACACTCAACCCCCTCCAAAAAGGGGGAGATAAATACCCCGCTGAGAGCACCAGGGCTGTCTTGGATGCTTTTCTCCCCATCGGCTCAGCCTTGCCGGTACCTGCTCTCTGTGGGGTGGCTTTTCCCTGCCTCCGTGTATCGATGAAACAGCACTGATGGTATGAAAGGGCTGGAGGAGCCAGGCTGGGTTCCCGGAGCTGAGCCAGGGCTTGGCTGCACCCCCAGGTATGTGGATGGCCGAGTCTTTGTCACCGAGGTGCTCCCTGAGAGCCAGGCGGAGGTGGATGAGGTGGTGCTGGCTGGCGACATCCTTGACGAGATCAATGGCTGCTCGCTGAGAAATGCCTACAGCGGCGCCTGCTGCGGTGGCAGTGGCACGACGGGGGGGTCTACGAGCCGCTGCTGCCCTACCTGAAGGTCCTGAAGGAGAAGGAGCCCCACTTCCAGCTCCAGCGTGGCCCCCAGTGCAGGGGCGAGGTGGAGCCACAGCAGCTGCAGGGGGGCAGGTAGGTCTGACACCATGGGGAGCCCCCAAGCTGGGGGTCCCAGCATCGGGGCAGCCCTGTGCCCACGCTATCCCTGGCCTCCTCTCAGGGCTGTGGGGCCAAAGCTGCCCCTGTGGCCTGGGGGTGGTGGGGGCCTGTGAGCATCTTCCCCTGCATAGGCTGGCAGGAGGATGCAGGAGGTCCTTGCTCTGATGCCCCCAAGCTCTTTTCTCCCCAGGCTGCTCTACAACCTGCAGTACCTGGGCCGGACAGGCGTTGGGAAGGTGAGGCGATGGGGCGGAGATGTGCCTAGGGATAAATGGACTCTTCTGGATTTCTTTTCACGTGCCTGTAAGTTATTGCCTCCTTCCTGCTCTGTTTCAGTACGGTGGCAAAGAGGTGCTGGGCCAGGCCATCCCTGCCGTGCTGGAGAAGCACTCGGCTGCACGGGTGAGCAATGGGCCTGAGGGATCCCGGGAAGCGCTTGGTGAGAAAACTGCAGGGAGATGCGGTCTCTGCCCATGGATATTCTTTTTCTGCCAGCTCCAGGTTCGCTTGGCCTGGCTGAGTATTTGACACCCCCCGTGGTTGGGGTTTTTTCTGGTTAAAAGCATCTCTGCAGCCAGCACAGGAAAGTGCATTAAGGAAAAAAAAAAATACAACCACCTGCAGGAAAGCATGTGGAAACCGTGGGGAGACTGAGCCTGGTTCCAGGGTGCTTTAGGGCTCAGGTCACTGTTGCTTGAGCCTTGCGGGGGGGGGG